TTTTTTTTTTTTTTTTTTTTTTTTTTTTTTTTTTTTTTTTTTTTTTTTCTTTTTTTTTGTTTATGAGCTTACAATTTTTGAAAGATGACTTAAAAGATAATTGTATATCACCTAAGTTTTTATGCTGGTTTATTCTCAGTGCAGCTCATTAATCGGTTATTTCACCATTGCCAATTGTGTACTGGTATCATTAAAAAAAATACCTGCTCAATCTTTTGAACGTAGTGCTTGTGCATTCATAGACATAATAAAGTGCTTCGTATTGATTATGTTGTCTCCAATATTGTGTCATTAACACTTTTATTTTATTTTTACTTATTTATTTGTTTATTTATTTTTTAATCTTTATCTTGGGTTTTGGATTGCACGTGCAAAAGCATTGAATTGTTTGCGTCTTTCATTGAGGTTGGTTTTGCTATCTGTTTCAGCAATTCTTTTTCATGGTCCAGGATCATGGCAGCTGGCTGGAGATAGGAACCAGTATAAGCCACTACGTGGTAGTCATGTGCTCCATCATATTCCTTATAATGTTCTTGGGACTAGCCACCATTTTGACTTCATGGAGAATTGGTCCTAAACAGACTGGGAAGAATCTCTGAAAGTGTCAAGTTTTGTTTTGATTGTCATTCCAAAGAAGGTAATGGCTTCCAATCCATGGTACTTTAAATTGAAATTATTATTCAAGAATCCGTGACTTTCCACCAGATTGACTTCATACAGTGCTGGGCCCAGTAGTTGAAAGGTTTATAGTTTTTTGTTTTTTTTTTAATTTACCCAGAGAGAGCTTCACGCATTGGTAAACCACAGTTGTGCAGCTATAACTGATGTACACCTTCATAACTATGTGTCAGTTTTTCTCTCCAGAAGGGATCATACAGACATTTTATAGTTCTTCTGGTCTTAGCAGCCATAATAATAATAATAATGATAATATTATAGAGAGCATGAGTCAGTGTGATAATGACTGGGTTTTTGTTAATTTATTATTTTTTGTTTTGTTGTTTTCAGAGACTGTTTCTGTGACCAAACAGACAATCTAATGATTTTAAAATTGTTATGACAAATGCTCTGAAGGTAGAAATATATCTTGTTTTAAGTGTGATATTGATAGAGAAAGTTCTTTGTTTGTTTTGAAAGATTATTACTGCAGTCAAGTAGACAGTGTGACTGAGAAGTCTTGGGAATAAATACCAGAAGTAGAGGAAGAAATGTGTATCCGTCTTCAAAGTATATGGATCAAGATCTTAGTGCATAGTGAAAGTTAACATTTTTTTTCTAATTATTTTAGGTTAATTTATTTTCATAAGTTCTTACTACAAAACTGTTCGGTTTTGTTAAGAGTTTGACAGTGGAATACCTCATCAAGTGACAGTTAGATTATGATCCATTTGTAAAGGAAAAAATGAAAGAATGATGTATTGTCCTATATTGGTATTTTTTTTTGGGTAGTTAGTGACAAGCCAAGACTGAAGTTCTGAGATTTTTAGAAATTTTAAATGGAACAATCCTCTCCTATGATTTATTTATTTTACAGATTTTTGTTGTAGATTTAAGTCAGGTTTTTTTTTTCATTTGTATGTGTTTAACTAATCAGATTTTATTTGATCTCATTGCAATGATAGTCTTATCAAGAACAGAACATTTGGTACTCAGTATCCAAATAAAGGTTACTTCTTGATATTATTGTTGTTAAACAATTTCAAACATAACACAGAAACAAAATACTGCTTGTGATAGAACCTTTATGTAATGAAATTGTGGTTATCTTTGAACATGTTTATTTCCTAACAGGAGTATTGCTATCATCTAAGGCATACAACAAGCTTAATTTCAATAAATTAACTAGAGATATTATATAAATCATAAAATACCATTGTGCTTTACATGTGGTCTATGAATAAATAACAATATATGGTCCTCTATAAGTTATTTGATGTAACATAATTTCAGTATTTACACTAAACATCAAAGCAACTTTTAGTTTTTTTACTTTTACAGTAACAAGGTCAAACTATAGACACCATATTCCAGTATCTGAGCCAATAATGATTGTGTTCATAATGTCCACATAAACTTTGTAAATGCAAATAGATACTTACACCTTTAACAATACTAAAATGTCTTCAAAAATATATGATGATATAATATAATGACATAACAGTAAATAAAAACTATAACTGTGTACAATGAGAAGTTAAATGTGAGGTGTCAGACAGCAGTTAAGTGTCTCAAATATGATGATATTATCTAAAATCTTAAATAAAATTCCCAATGGAACAAAGATAGTTTATTGTACAGTGAAGTAGAAAAGAGTATCTTGCTTTCCAAAAAAAAAAAAAGCATGAATAAAATGAGGATCGATATTTTTTGGAAAATAAAAGAGTTATCCGAGAGTTATCAGCAACAAACCCAGTTGAGTGGGGAAAAAGAAACATCAAGGCTCTGCTGGGCTTTTGGATATAACATTATCTCTGAGTAAAAATAAAGCACTTCTGTGATGATAGTTTGCAAGCACCTTGCAGTAGAGATTCACAATTCTAAGATAATGTGTGAATAAGTTGCTGCTTATAGTAGTTTGCTAGTAATTTAAGTAACTACAGTCTTATTATCTGACTTGTAAATTCAGCTCCCCCTTCTCCAACACACACACGCGCACGCACTCACACACACACTTTGATTAAACATATTCTGGTGCGTCATATTTCTTTTGTGCATACTTTTTGATATCAAATCTATAAATTTTTACTGCCATTCTTAAACGAATGTTCATTTATATATCATTATTTATGATTGATAATGATTAAAAATTACAACTTTAAGTATTTTATTTCTAAATGCACATCCAAACAGTTTAATGACTCAGTGAAGTATTTTGTACAATATATATCTGTACAAATTCACCTTTACTTGTAGAATTGTTTTTGCAAAAATAAATAAATAATAATAATAATAAACTAATTAATTAATTAGAAAGGTTGCAGTCTGTCTAGTTCAATTTGTATGCCAAGAAACAAATGCTGATAATAATTATGGTTAAATACTTTTTATACATAATACATGTTGCTTGTACCACAAAATCAATTAAAAAACAACAACATAAAATATATAACAATCAAATGTCTCTTCAGCCCCCGCAAAAAAAGGCAAAAAGTTTTTTTTTATCTCCATCTCCATCCATTCAGACAGTTACATCTGGTGCATCTTATCGATAATAACTAGATCTTTCCAATGGGAGAATTTATAGATAATGTACTTCTTAAAATTAAAACATTTCTATTAAGTGGTAAACAAAATTAAAAAGCAGGCTACTCTATAGATCTGTTCTATGCAGTAAAAACACATGCTATACTGAAATATAATTCCTGTGATTATTGAATTACGTATCTGAAAGTTTGGTCGTTTTTCCCACTGAAAAGACATGAAACCTTAAACTTCGGGATCACTTCTCTTTTGCAATTGCATCGATCAGCAGTGAGATCAACTTTTCCCCTCGTTTTCACTCTCTCGTTTCAGTTTTGCATCTAGCACAGTGTAACTAATCATCCCAGCCACTAGCATTCCAAGGTAGATGTAGGTCTTGACAGCCATACATATATAGGGCGCAAAACCAAAGGAAAGTGCTATAGCAAAACCCTGGAAAAACTTCATACTGGCATACGCTGGTTCTTTGTTGTTGCTGAACAGAGTTCCAACCAAACCTAGAAAAGAACAGAAGTATAAGTTATATTGTAAAGATATGTGCTGATAATATATTAAGATATTATAGATTATATGTATCTTTGGGTTTTTAGAAGTACATATGAACCGAGCATCGGTGGAGCATGAATTCCCAGTAACACATATAAACCACCGATGCTCGGTTCATATGTACCTTTAAAAACTTTCAACATGCCAAGGGATAAACTGAATAAACCACTCGATCATCCATCAAAGAGCTTTAGACTGCTCCTTTCTTTAAATTTTTGGTCAGAAATTTAACCTTCTTTCGTGACCCACTGTTCTGCCTTATTGATATACAGCATAGAATGCTACCAGAAAAATCCATTCAAATATCATTTTTCGGGTAAAATTAAACAATGCCTTTTGGCAATTCTCTTAGTTATACTACTTGAAACTATATGCTGGCAATTGGTTGGCTTTTGTGGCAAAAAATTGACTTCATATGCATCTTTAATCAAAAAGTTATTTTTACCAGCTATTAGCGTACATTATACAGCGCAGCCTCAGCATGTAAATTGTTCAGATGCCTGTAAGGCATCTGCAAGGCATCTGCAGATTTATAAAATAAATTGAGGCTTTTAACGCTTACAAAGTTATTCCTGTCAATGTATTAATTAACCTATTTCATACTCATCACAGTTGAATGATGAATGGAGAAAAATCCAATTTTCAGAGTGCGTGTTACCCGCAAGCAAGACAGACTTAAGTTTAAGCATGATTTATAAATCAATAGCAGATTGAGACAATTGTCCTACCTATATTTTATTTTAAATTAAGCTTTGGAGACTGAAAAAGGCATAAAATTGTCTTGTAGCAAATGTGTGTGGCACTCCCGTGGCATTGCATGTAATGTCACCTTGCCAATGAAAGTCAGATAATCTTTTTTAATAAATAAATTAAGATTATGAATGCTGGACGAAAATAAGATATTGATCATTTAATTAATGCTGTTCCTTAATTATTGCGTTATTAAAATTGAAGGAATCTACGTCACTTACTGCTCAGTTGGGTCGCCCATATCCCGTCAGCCACTCCCCACAAGCCAGTTATAACAAACAGCACTGCCTGTTGTTCTGGGATCGGCTGCCATGTTGCCAGAACCACACCAAGACACAAGTCAATCAAAGATGCTGTAATCACAAATGAAGTTTTAGAAAACACTCAACTGTTGTGAAGAGGTGGATTTTTAAATTTTTTATGGAATACAAAGTAAGAAAACTGCAAACTTAGGATTTTAGTCTGAAGATTGAAACGTGACTTTCATATTTATTCAGTGAAATGAAATGTATATAATTGATTAAATTAAATGTGTTCAAGATGGTTTAAATATGCATTTAAACAATTATAAGATAGCATTAGTACTGCTTACCTAGGCAGTAAATCGAACTCTTACAACTAAAGCATAATTCATTATACAATGTTCCTACCTGTGCCCAACAAAGTGCGTGTGCTGATGTGTTTGGCAAGACGGCCATTGGTGATGGCGCTGGCTGCATTGCACACGCCAAAGCAGATCATTGTGTAACCAATCATTTCCATCCCCAAAGGACAGGTGATGAATGCCTGAAACGGTGTAAATATCAGATTTAAATGCCAATTTACATGTATATGACACCATGATGATTTTCATAGCTTTATTTCAAAAACTGAGATCTGAAGACAATAACAAAGTGAAACTAATTTCGAACAAAATTTCCCTTAATTTGAGGTGACCTCTCCAAACACACACCAACCTTAATCTTCTAAAGATAATCTCATATTACAGAAGCACCTATAGCTTTATTTTTTGCTCTCCCATTTGCTTGGCATGTTAAAAATTGTTATATTAATACAAAAATGCAAATGACACACGTGCAAACATACCTTAGTGAAATCACCAGCAATGAAAGCAGCCCTAATCCCAGTGTAAAACTGTAGAAAGACCAGGAGCTGCTGCCTGTGGTCCTTCACCGTTGACACCAAAGCCTTGAGTTGTTCCCGGGCACTGATGGGCTTACGCTGAAATATCTTCCTCAATCGGTCAACAAAGCACACTGTGATGGCCAGCCCGGCCAACACGCAGAAGAGGTAAACTGCTATGAGGATGTAGATAATGTGTTTAGGCAGTTCCTCCCCTGAATTGTGAGTAAGCTTCATGCTATGGCAGTAGCCAGAGCCACAGAGAGACAAGTGAGAATGGGACAAAGAAGAAAAGTTTGTGGATGTATTTAAAAGCGAGGGAGACGTGTCTTTGAATGTGCTGTTGAAGAGCATGACGATTGCTGTGCTTCTGTTGGTGGAGTCATCTGGTATGTAAGGCGTGCCTGATGCTTTAGGTTCCAAGTTTAACGATGGTACCTCTGAGAGGTTGGAGTTATTCCCGTAAACGTCCTCCAAGTGTTCAGCCGTTGAAACATAGTTTGGTGAGTTAAGCACCAAAGAAGCAGTCAAATTCCCAATAATGTTCGACATTTGCCAAATCATGAAAAAGATACCATAAAATTTATTCATGACATCTGCTGGCCTTTTCTTCATCACTGTAGCATAACTGGATGCAATGCTGGCAATATATGTTCCCTGGGCAATCCACATTGTGGCATTGGCAAAACCCGCCAAGGCAGAAGCAGGAACCAGCAGAAATGGACTTGGATAAAAATTGGCTGTTACATAACAGGCCTGCATGGCCATGCCAAGGATGAGAGTGTTCTTAGGCCTTAAAATCTGTGTAACTGCAGTTCCTGTAAGAGAAGCCAGTACAAAGACACCGTACATGACACTTAGGGACAAGAGGCCAAGGCCACCAGTTGGATTCAGACTGCTCTGAAGATTACGAAGGGAAGTAAAAGAAGAAAACACGAACATAAAACTCAAGCTCAAGGCAATCAGGTTCTTCATATACTTCTTGGCTTCGCGTGGACGGGGTTTCTCATACATGGCATCGTAGGCAATTTTACGTGCATAACGCGAGAGGAGTCCCTGCTGACTAGATGTGCTCTGTAGACTGTCATCGTTTGTGTAACCATAAACGTTTTCTCCACGAATTCGGAGGTAGGTTCGCGCTGCACGTGCGAGGAGCCCCTGAGTACTGGATGTGCTGTGTAAACTGTCATCGTTGGTGGAAGACTGATCGTCCTTGGTATCTTTGACCTCCTGACTCTGGCCGATGTCCTGTTGACTCATTATCAACTCAAAGACTTCGTTGGTGCTGTTGAAGGTGACGTGTCGTTCTTCGTTGTTAAGTTCAGAAGTGGGAGAGGAGGTGACTGAAACCTCGGGAACTTTTTCCACAGAGAATCTGGATCGGCTACGTGTCAACTCAAAGGCCACATTTGCAAGGACTTTGTTTGTTGGGGACGAAGGGTGCTTGATGTCCATGCACTTCTGATTGTAGCTTTCATTGTGTAGATCTAAAGCTTCTAATGTGTTTTGGTCGGTTTTACCAACGTGATCTTGTAGTTCCACCTCTCTTGATTTGGGCAAAGGGCCAAACTCTGGTTTCTTGGTAGTATTCTCTATCGTATTCACTGGTTTCACAGCAGGAGGGCCATTTGCCAGTTTTCTAGCAGCAGTTACAAGAAGTCCATGGGCACTTGACGCACTTTCCACACTGTCCAGATAGTCAGAATCATCCAGTCTTGGCAGCTTATCATCAGGACTACCAGACGCCATTGCCTTTTTCGGGCTATTATCTCTGACTTCACTGACATCTTTACAAGTGGTAGGTTTTGAAGCGACAGGAGAAGATTTCAAATAATCCCCATTCTCTTTTGTTTCAAAAAGACTCACTATACTGGGGCATTTCACCAAAAATCTTGGCAATACATCATGTCCGATTTCTTCTAGGTAGTCTTCAAAACCGCCATGTGCGTCCTCTGCGTCTTCATCAATGAAGATGATGTCCTCTATATCTGGATCGAAAGAAGCTGTGCTGTCTGACTGTGGCAGCATCTTCTCTTTGGCGTTCTTACTGGGTATTCCCTTTTTGGTTTCCATTATCTTTCAAGTCTGGAAAGTTGTTGAAGATTAGATTTATTAATCAATAGAACTATGTTGTATGACGTTGTTACAAGATCATTTTTCATAAACTGCAGTGTGACATTGAAATTTTACCTTGAAGATTAATTTTGCCTGACACATTGGATCAATTTGTAAAAATTGATAAATTGTTAAATATTGCCTCAGTTTTTAGGATCGCCTTTGTATGCTGTATTTATCTTCGGGTTTTGAGTAAAGGTGAGATTTAGATCGATCCAGAGAATAAGATTTAGATCGACCTAACTCCCTGGGGGTTCAAGCTAAATTGCAGTCAGCCGAGCGCGCACCCAAGTTAATTACCCCCTTACAGCTTTTAGTAGGCGGGACAGACGCTTAAGCCGGCTAAGCTGACAGTAATCCAGTGAGACTCCCAACAGGGATAGATCGATCTAAAATCTTTGAAAATAGGGTCTAAGTCTTTAATGAGATCTTTTGTTTATTATTATTATTATTAGCATAATTATAATTATTATTACGCCTAATATGGTTGGTATTTCGTGCCTTATATACTGCTTAAATTATTATTCAATAAGCCAGTCGTAAAATCTTCTTGTGGCCAAGGTTCGTTGCTGATTTAATAGGGGCCTTTTAGGGCCAGGGATGCTAGGATGGAAGCGATTAAAATCCAGCATTTTAAACAAGTATTTATTTATTTATTTTTTATTTTTTATTTTTTCAATTTTTTTTTAGTTCATCTCACTTCTGACACTCTCAACGTTGTTTCGATGTTCCGGTTCTATACGGGAACACGCACGTCCGTGCATACACAGTTTGTAATTGAGAAAACTCAGGCACGAAAGAACCACGTCTGTTTCCCCGAATGGCACAGGATGCATAAAGCATCTTGTTCTGAAGGTCCTGCTCCATGCGTGTCCAGTCATTCAGAACGCTGACCTTTTCCACTGTGAACGGAACCGTGATAGGACCCATTTGGGTAACAGCTCAAGCATTGACAAAGTTGTTTTATATATAAAAATGAAATAAAATAATAAATAAATAAAAATGACAAGAAGCAAAGACCATGATGCGGAATACTTCAACCACCTGATGCTTGGCCTAATGCCTGTTTGCTGGCTTATGAGATAGGGCTTGTAAGATTTACAACGATTCACAACGATTTCAACAAAAAAAGGTTTTACTTCTATCCCATTTCCCGATTTAGAACAAACCGATGTAAACTTGAGTTAAAACCTAAGCTATCTTTGTTTAAACCAAGTTCTTCTTGTTTTAATCGTTCTGAACGCGAATCCAGCCTGTATGAGTAGGTAAATTACTTTCACTACTGTATACATTCAGCCGCTGTATAGCGATTTCTGCTGGTTATGAAAAATTGATATCCTTAATGTTTTATCTTGCTGTAATTTCTGCTACATTATTGCCTGCATCGACAGGTAACCTAGGTTAGCACTTTCTGTATGAGATTTCCAGTGCGTCATGCTTCACAAATAGATATTTTCAGTTTTTTTCAGTGAATAAACATTGTACATAACAAAATAATGCTATTTACTAATCATGAAAAGATGTTTCACGGTGTAAAGGACTTCTTATAGTTACAAAGCGAAAAGATTATAGTCAGTCTGTTGTTTACTTTGTTGTCGCATTTTTTACACAAAACGTATCGCCTGTGTAGTATTACCAGTATATGCAGGAAAAAAAACACCCTAGTTCTTTTCGTTATAAAGTGACCTGCCATCTTTTTTCCTAAGACTTGCCTACGTACACTGTAATCTAATTGGTTTCCCAGTTTTGTGTTTACCTTCAAGTCAGGCGTTGCTTGATTTGAGGTTTAATACAACAGAAAATGACAGCAAACCTTTGAAATAATGTTTGGTTTGTTTGACATGATTTTTGAACAAATAAAGAAGAGCCGAAAGGAAGTCACATGTCTGTTAAGTTGCCTTGTAAATGAAAGAGCGCGTGTGAGCTGCATAGGAGGAAGGGAGATAGTTAAACTGAAAATGTCACTATATGTAGCACGTCACATGTAGCTTCCTGTATATTATATGTAAACTTTGCTTCAGTGTGATATTGGCCACTAAACGCAAGCTTCATGTAGGCTTTACGAAAACAGTATGACTATTATTACGTACATACATTAACTTGGATTTAGTGTAATATTGGCCACTGAACTTAAGCTTTATATAGGTTTTACGGAAATAGGATGATCATTATTAGGCCTAAATGTCTACATGTAAATTTTGCTTCAGTGTGATATTGACCACCGAACGTAAGCTTCATATGAGTCTTACGGAAACAGCATGGTTATTGTTACCTACATACATTAAACTATGCTTCCGTGTAATATTCGTCACAAAACTTCACATAGGTTTTACAGGATCAGTATGATTATCGATCCTTGCGTATCGGATAGGCATTGAATGGCGCTGTATTACAAAAGCTTGCACGTTCGTTATCAGCCAGCCTTGGTCAATATTTATAACCTTGCTTGACCACAAGATGGCGATTAATTTGGTGCAAAAACAGACCAAAAATCTTGGGATTAACGAGTAGTAGGCTTATCACGCGAGGAGATGCCAATTAAAATTTTTCGCATTAAAGGGATAATAACTCTTCGTATGAGATCTATATTTCACAATAAAAACCTTGTGAATAACTCATAGAAATACAATATATTCTGTTTTACCACAAAAACAGCAGTTATAGCTTTTATTCTGATATTTGAACTTGTCTTTAGACCACGTGACCTCCATTGATGTCTATACTCTGTTAAAATCTCTTAAGAGATTTTAACAAAAAACCAAACTTTTTAGAAAAAAACCAGGGACTAACTTTGAATGTAAAAATGGATTCATTAACCATTGGTAAGTATGGGAAAATTGTTGTTTACTCCAGGAAAATTCATTTTTTGGCCGAAACGAAGAGTTATTATTGCTTTAATGGTATGATAAATAGGCCTAGTCGAGGCAACTCAAATATCGTCTTTGTATCTGTGTACGTTTTACTTTGAATATGAATAAATTGTTCAATAGGTGTTTCTGTGCTCTAGATTTATGGATTCTAATTATTCACTAATAATAATAATAATAATAATAAGTATAATTGTTGATGTTATTCAATTATTTATTCTTTATTACTTTTTTCTTATTTATTTATTCATTTATTTCTTTATTTAATCTTGCAATCTTGAGCATGATAAGATGACATCACGTTGTCTATACTGGTAACAAAATTTAATAAAAAAAATAAGCCCCCAAAGACTTTGACCTTGGCAATTACGTACATCCCAGTCACATAAAAAAAAACACGTGGATCGCGGTGACATAAATAGCCATAGTCATCAGTAACACAAATCCAGATTTAGCCCTATGCGCTCCAGTTGGCAGAGCGGAGATGCTGACTCACATGTAGGCTACTATCCATTATACTCCCTATCACCCTGAGAGCAACGGTCAGAACAGTGGCTGCAGAGTCTCAGATCTGCATTAGTGGAGATCTGCTACTACACCGATCTTCAGGGTAAAAGAAAGGCGCCTGCTGATACAGACAAAGACACATCATACCTAGATTTGCACTAAAAATCTATTTAAACCCTGGTATAAGAGCTGATAATGGTACTCGAGAGAATAATTAACTACAGGCGTTCTATGAAAATCACCTAATATCAAAGGCAGATTGCATAATTAGTAATGCAAATAAAAAGGTGTGTTTTGGGGCTCACGCGATCTAGTTTTTCATAATTGCCGAGGCTAGAAGGATAACTAATGAGACTTTGCGATCGCACTCATATCACCTATCTCTCATATACATAAATTTACGCCTTAAGTGTCATTATTTTACACAAACCTCGTGGCCATTTCTAAACATAAAATAAACCGTATTCACCTCCTAGTGCACTGTTTTATTTGCTTAGCATTGGCTCTTCATTAAACTCAACAAAACGGCAAAGTCTTAGGTTTCAAATACAATACATTTAATGTTTGTTTTGAAATCGAAGCAAGCTGGATGTTTGCGTAGGCGCGCTAATCTCACCACATACCGCGGTACTTTTTTAATTTTATTTTAAGCGACGTTCAGTGCTGAAATGGGACTGCATACAAGACCCGTATATCGAACTCTATTTTCCGAGTGCCGTTATCAATTAAACAACAGTTTATTCAATATCAAATACTTTCAGCTCTTTGCTTTATTTGCATTCATTTGCATTTNGAAACGAAGAGTTATTATTGCTTTAATGGTATGATAAATAGGCCTAGTCGAGGCAACTCAAATATCGTCTTTGTATCTGTGTACGTTTTACTTTGAATATGAATAAATTGTTCAATAGGTGTTTCTGTGCTCTAGATTTATGGATTCTAATTATTCACTAATAATAATAATAATAATAATAAGTATAATTGTTGATGTTATTCAATTATTTATTCTTTATTACTTTTTTCTTATTTATTTATTCATTTATTTCTTTATTTAATCTTGCAATCTTGAGCATGATAAGATGACATCACGTTGTCTATACTGGTAACAAAATTTAATAAAAAAAATAAGCCCCCAAAGACTTTGACCTTGGCAATTACGTACATCCCAGTCACATAAAAAAAAACACGTGGATCGCGGTGACATAAATAGCCATAGTCATCAGTAACACAAATCCAGATTTAGCCCTATGCGCTCCAGTTGGCAGAGCGGAGATGCTGACTCACATGTAGGCTACTATCCATTATACTCCCTATCACCCTGAGAGCAACGGTCAGAACAGTGGCTGCAGAGTCTCAGATCTGCATTAGTGGAGATCTGCTACTACACCGATCTTCAGGGTAAAAGAAAGGCGCCTGCTGATACAGACAAAGACACATCATACCTAGATTTGCACTAAAAATCTATTTAAACCCTGGTATAAGAGCTGATAATGGTACTCGAGAGAATAATTAACTACAGGCGTTCTATGAAAATCACCTAATATCGAAGGCAGATTGCATAATTAGTAATGCAAATAAAAAGGTGTGTTTTGGGGCTCACGCGATCTAGTTTTTCATAATTGCCGAGGCTAGAAGGATAACTAATGAGACTTTGCGATCGCACTCATATCACCTATCTCTCATATACATAAATTTACGCCTTAAGTGTCATTATTTTACACAAACCTCGTGGCCATTTCTAAACATAAAATAAACCGTATTCACCTCCTAGTGCACTGTTTTATTTGCTTAGCATTGGCTCTTCATTAAACTCAACAAAACGGCAAAGTCTTAGGTTTCAAATACAATACATTTAATGTTTGTTTTGAAATCGAAGCAAGCTGGATGTTTGCGTAGGCGCGCTAATCTCACCACATACCGCGGTACTTTTTTAATTTTATTTTAAGCGACGTTCAGTGCTGAAATGGGACTGCATACAAGACCCGTATATCGAACTCTATTTTCCGAGTGCCGTTATCAATTAAACAACAGTTTATTCAATATCAAATACTTTCAGCTCTTTGCTTTATTTGCATTCATTTGCATTTTCCACATGCATTATATTCCTGCCTCTTCTTATGCACAGCTTGCGTCTGTGTCAGGTGCTAATGTTAACTTGCACTTCATATTGAAGTAAGAATAAAAAATGTCTGGTTTATGAAACGTGCCGCAAACATATACACCATCGCCATAGAGTACAATGTAACAAACCGAGCGAGATATTATGCCAATAGAGTTACGCAATAATTTAACAGTTTTGTATATTTTGTGCCATAGTGCAATGGCGGATCGGGCGGGGAGAGGGAGGGTATACCGGACCACCTCCGTCCCCCCCACCCCCACCCCCACCCCACCCCCTCTGCCTTAACTTCTAATGTAACCCGTTCTACGCCTATACTACCAATTCAAGAACAAATCATTACCGAAACGAAATAATAGCAAGCAGATTTTCCACCAGTGAACCCTAGCTACATATCGGTATGAATTTATCCTTGTCTACTATTTCACATTTATCCTTGTACCCCCCCCCCCCCCCCCACTAGCAAAATCCTGGACCAGCCAATGCATGCGTCCTCTCTGATTTATTCATGAACATCTTTTCGATGCTATATTGCATGTTAAGTGGTATTTATATTTTACAGCCTTGATAACGATTGCTATTGCAGCTTATTCAGTCACGTAGTTCAATGTATAAGTTAGCATCAATCAACATGACAAGGAAACAGACGCATTTACACGTGGATTTATTCTTCAATATACTTAACCTGCATGGTTATGTAGGATTCCATTGATTTCTATCCAAATTAGCGCGGTGTTGGTCGTTTTCTTGCATAGAAAGTGATTTATTGATACAACGACGACGACGGAGTTGAGGTAGCTTTATCGGCACATGGAAGAGTTCCTACATTTCTCTAGGCATCCTATACTAGAAAGCCCTTACATTGCTCTCTCACTCTCTCTCTCTCTCTCTCACACACACACACACATAGACAACTCTTAAATTTCAGCATTAAGGTTATCAGGCAACGAACATAATGTATATGTCCACAATGATAACTCCATCCTTTTCTGTATTCAAACCCTTTGTTAAAAGCTTTATATTCACGACACCAAGAAAAAATTAGATGGTTATTATACTGCAGGTAAGTGAGAGTTCCCATTCAAGTAACTTACCTGTGCTGTTTCAATAATCAAAATTTGATGTAAATCTTGCCATCACTTTCCGACATATTTCGGCTGCACCTTAACCGTCACTAACGTCTTTATAGGAGGCATCGTGTTAATGAATACGCCTTCGGATGATCTTATCACACAATCAAGTTGCGTCATGAGGGAATTTTCACGGTAACCACTGGCAACACAGTCACTCCTTTTCCGTGTCATTGATACAGTATTCTTGACCTTTGTGAAACTGAAGGACAACGTCGTCGGAGAACCTGTATGACGCTTGCATCAGCTGATCGCAGCCACTCGATTCCGCTATCGCTTCTCCCGTGTTTATTCCGCTGACTCATGCGCCACTCTGCTATGCTGGATCATTTCCTCGAATCAATAATCCGCCCAGCTCGTGCTTTACACTCGTGATCAAGCCTGGCTTTATTATGTAGACTGAATAAAACGACCTGGTTCTCCTTGGGTTAAATCAATACTTCGAAACGGCGGGTTAATCGGAGTTCGCTGAATGAAAAACATTCCCCGCATATTATGTATTTATCCACGCCGTTTGGTTCACGTGCACGTGCTGATGTTTACATGTAGGTTACAATTCCCTGAACCTAAAAATAGAACAGGGGATTCCAACAGAAAACGACAGGTGACTTCTTGGGTTTTTTTTTTTAATTCAGCGTGACTACATTAATAAGTAAAATACATTTGGATACATTTTATTTGTTTGCCCATTCTTTCTTCCCTTGTACATGGAGCTTATTCCAGCGAAGTTGTTAAACAGGAATATACGCAAAAGGCATCCATTTCCCTCGTTATCCAAGGCATAAGTACAGTGTATTAGAATAACAATACGCACAATACGCACTGAATGATGCAATGAAGTAGCCAGCAATTTCAAAAGGGGGGTTCTTTTTCTGAAAAAGTGGACCTTTTCCCATAAAAACTTCATGTACCTAGATCAAATTTTACCCAGAGTGGACCTTTTTAGCCAAAGGGGCGGTTCTTTCGAACCCCCCAAACCCCCCTGGCTACGGGCCTGCATGATCATGATTCATCTAAAACTTAAAATCTGGCGCAACCTTGCGTTCAATGGGTAAAATATTTCAGCGCTTTCACACTGAATACAGTGGGATTCATATTACAGGTGAAGGTGGAGTGCGTTCTCATTAAATAGATCCTTCTACCTGGTAAACAACAACTTCATTGGGACTCTCGTTGAACGCAATAAAAAAAAAAGATGACTACGCCTCCCCATGGCGTTAAGTGAATTAAAGAAAATCTGCTTATTAACCCAGTGCGTTTGAAACAAAAGGAGGCGTGTTAGACTGTTAATCTGATTGCGACTAATTCAAACGAACATAAAATAACTACGTGTATAATAAACCACAAAATAATGCTCAACAGATTAACACTAAAGGACACCCCTCAATATAAAACAAATTAAAATAATACTACAACTAATAATAATAATAATAAAAGCAATCAGTCACTTTAAAAAGTAAAATTATGAAATATGTGATAAAACGTAAGTAGTGAGTAAGCATAAGATGCTCGTCATTAATCTAATTTTATACGACTCCCCGGAGGGAGTGGGCCGATCCTGGAGGTACTGCAATACCAGGCCAACCCGTGGCAGGGGTGGAGCAAGCTCCTGACGCCCCGCCCAGTTCCAAAAATCAGTTTAATATCGAAGTCCCCTGTAGGAGACGTATCAGATATTAAGCTGATAAGAACAGATACTACACTTTGATCTTAGCCAAAAGGCCGAGAAGCGATGCCCACTAACGCCTAGTGAAGTGATGTCGACCTGTAAATCTCAACCGCCTTGATGACTTGGATATCGTGTTTAGTTTTTCAACATCGCCAGCTTCGTATATTCGTCTTGTTCGTTTACTGAAGTATTCGACTGCTTCATTGCAATATCGCTTTACGGCAATGATTTTGATCCCGAAGAAAGTTGTGACGAGCTGCATTTTCAGTTCTTAAATCCCCAGTTTATCCGATTTCTGCGAGGCACGGGACGTTCGCAAAAGTCTCATTTAGCCCCATCGTATGAATCACAGCCGATTCACTGCATTGTTAGCGAACACTATTCCAAGTTTGAAGAGAGGCGAAGCCCGTCCGTACCCGCCGGATAACGTTCCGTTGCTGAAAAGCAGGTTTACGTGCATTTCGTGCTTCTCTGACAGCCTATTGGAGCAAACTTGGATGGCGTCACAGACACATAATGCACGACGTCGTTTTGACATAATAGTCTGATGTGTCAGTGCGTAACTTGGAGACGCTGTTTGTCAATAGGACGGTGCAGAAGATTTCGGAGATGGTTTGCCTTAGTTTAAGCGACTGCGGTCTGTGTGCAATTTCGTCGCGTTTGAATTTATCCCACAGGTGGAGGCATTTTCGAAGATTTTGTGCTTGCTGCACGCTGCAACATAAATTGCGCATGTCGTATCCAAGCAAATATCTGTGAAAGTATGCCTAGATCGTATCAAAAAGGGAGAGTTGTTAGTTTATTTTATTTTATTTTTAACATGACTTTGTGAGTAGACTGAGGAGAGTTGTTATTTTTTTAAATTTTATGCACCTCCCCGGAGGGAGAGGGCCGATCCTGGAGGTACTGCAATACCAGGCCAACCCGTGGCAGGGGTGGAGCAAGCTCCTGACGCCCCGCCCAGTTCCAAAAATCAGTTTAATATCGAAGTCCCCTGTAGGAGACGTATCAGATATTAAGCTGATAAGAACAGATACTACACTTTGATCTTAGCCAAAAGGCCGAGAAGCGATGCCCACTAACGCCTAGTGAAGTGATGTCGACCTGTAAATCTCAACCGCCTTGATGACTTGGATATCGTGTTTAGTTTTTCAACATCGCCAGCTTCGTATATTCGTCTTGTTCGTTAACTGAAGTATTCGACTGCATCATTGCAATATCGCTTTAGGGCAATGATTTTGATCCCGAAGAAAGTTGTGACGAACTGCATCTTCAGTTCTTAAATCCCCAATTTATCCGATTTCTGCGTGGCACGGGACGTTCGCAAAAGCTCCATTTCGACCCATCGAATGGATCACAGCCGATGCACAGTATTGTTAGCGAGCACAATTCCAAGTTTGAAGAGAGGCGAAGCCCTTCTGTACCCGCCGGATAACGTTCCGTTGCTGAAAAGCAGGCTTACGTGCATTTCGTGCTTCTCTGACAGCCTATTGGAGCAAACTAGGATGGCGTCACAGACACATAATGCACGACGTCGTTTCGACATAATAGTCTGATGTGTCAGTGCGTAACTTGGAGACACTGTTTGTCAATAGGACGGTGCAGAAGATTTCGGAGATGGTTTGCCTTAGTTTAAGCGACTGCGGTCTGTGTGCAATTTGGTCGCGTTTGAATTTATCCCACAGGTGGAGGCAATTTCGAAGATTTTGTGCTTGCTGCACGCTGCAACATAAATTGCGCATGTCGTATCCAAGCAAATATCTGTGAAAGTATGCCTAGATCGTATCAAGAAGGGAGAGTTGTTAGTTTAGTTTATTTTTAACATGACTTTGTGAGTAGACTGAGGAGAGTTGTTATTTTTTAAATTTTATGCGACTCCCCGGAGGGAGTGGGCCGATCCTGGAGGTACTGCAATACCAGGCCAACCCGTGGCAGGGATGGAGCAAGCTCCTGACGCCCCGCCCAGTTCCAAAAATCAGTTTATTATCGAAGTCCCCTGTAGGAGACGTATCAGATATTAAGCTGATAAGAACAGATACTACACTTTGATCTTAGCCAAAAGGCCGAGAAGCGATGCCCACTAACGGCTAGTGAAGTGATGTCGACCTGTAAATCTCAACCGCCTTGATGACTTGGATATCGTGTTTAGTTTTTCAACATCGCCAGCTTCGTATATTCGTCTGGTTCGTTTACTGAAGTATTCGACTGCTTCATTGCAATATCGCTTTACGGCAATGATTTTGATCCCGAAGAAAGTTGTGGCGAGCTGCATTTTCAGTTCTTAAATCCCCTATTTATCCGATTTCAGCGAGGCACGGGACGTTCGCAAAAGCGCCATTTCGCCCCATCGTATGGATCACAGCCGATTCACTGCATTGTTAGCGAACACTATTCCAAGTTTGAAGAGAGGCGAAGCCCGTCCGTACCCGCCGGATAACGTTCCGTTGCTGAAAAGCAGGTTTACGTGCATTTTGTGCTTCTCTGACAGCCTATTGGAGCAAACTTGGATGGCGTCACAGACAGTTAATGCACGACGTCCTTTTGACATAATAGTCTGTTGTGTCACCGCGTAACTTGGAGATGTTGTTTGTCAATAGGACGGTGCAGAAGATTTCGGAGATGGTTTGCATTAGTTTAAGCGACTGCGGTCTGTGCGCAATTCGGTCGCATTTGAATTTATCCCACAAGTGGAGGCATTTTCGAGGAGTTTTTGCTTGCTGTACGCTTCATGCATTGCGCATTGTGGTATCCAAACAAATATCTGTGTAAGTAGGCCTAGATCGTATCAAGAAGGGAGAGTTGTTAGTTAATTTTATATTTAACATGACTTTGTGAGTAGACTGAGGAGAGTTGTTATTTTTTAAATTTTATGCGACTCCCCGGAGGGAGTGGGCCGATCCTGGAGGTACTGCAATACCAGGCCAACCCGTGGCAGGGGTGGAGCAAGCTCCTGACGCCCCGCCCAGTTCCAAAAATCAGTTTAATATCGAAGTCCCCTGTAGGAGACGTATCAGATATTAAGCTGATAAGAACAGATACTACACTTTGATCTTAGCCAAAAGGCCGAGAAGCGATGCCCACGAACGGCTAGTGAAGTGATGTCGACCTGTAAATCTCAACCGCCTTGATGACTTGGATATCGTGTTTAGTTTTTCAACATCGCCAGCTTCGTATATTCGTCTTGTTCGTT